AATTGAAGATTCTTTCAACGCCACAGAGTTGCCAAATTCAGTTCTAAACATCGGGTATTTATCCATTCCTCTATCATCGTTCTCAATAAGCTTCGAAGATCCTATATGCGTACGATCTATGAAATTTGAGTGAAGGTACAAAAACAAAATATAGCGGCTGAAAGATTCATAGATTATTACCTTCAAGTAGGAGATCGACCATGGAAGGGTATGGAGTAATAGGAGCTCCTTTCGAGTCATCATCGAGTTTCGACGGCGAGACCGGACCGATAGCCTCCCAACGATAATTTGATCCATCGTCAGAGCAAATATGCCACGTAGACATTCCGAAGATAACTTCTCTTACTCAAGGAAACACCTGCTCCTTTTTTTCTCCAATACATTAGCGAAAAGCTTTGGAAGAAGAGTTGAAATGATTTTAGGGTTCAAGTAAGAGAAAAGGGAGGATAATATATTTAACATTTTGCGGCATTTTTTAAAAACTCCACTATATCACAATTTTTTACGGTGTTTATACAAAAAAACGCCACTATTGATTAACAATATTGTGGTGTTTATCTAAAAACGACGCTAAAGTACTATTTATTCCGGCGTTTGAGGTATAAACGTAGCTAATTTATCATTCTATTGCGGCATTTTCGGTATAAACGCCATAAAATTTCTTCTCTATTGCGGCGTTTGTTGTAAAAACACCACTGTATGTCTACTAAATTGCAGCGTTTGTACAAAAAATGCCGCTAAAGTATCACATATTGATGAAGCATATTGTAGCATTTATTGAAAACGCCACTCTAAACAACCATATTGCGGCGTTTATAAACAAATGTCGTACCATTACCACTCTATAGCAGCATTTGTATAAAAACGCCGCTAAATGACTACTCTTTTGTGGCGTTTGTTGACAAAACGCCACTATAAATAACTCTATATCGACGTTTGTGCCATAAATGCCGCTAAATTACCACTCTACTACGGCATTTGTTAGGAAAACGCCGCTAAAGTAACATTTGGCGGCATTTTGATTATAAACGCCGCTATATTCCAAAATATTGTGGCTTTTACTCTCCAAACGCCACTATAGAACACTTTTGCTGTAGTGAGGAGATTATTGTGCTGATCAAAATAAACATCTGTATTGATCATATATAATTTGTACTGCAAATAAAATATTGTTTTTTTCCTATGGGAATGAGGTTTGAAGCTTATTCCGAGGATCTCTATTTGGAAATCGATAAATCAATCTTGCATTCAGTGTATAAATTGTATTACCTGCTTTTTCTGGAGAATCTGATGCCATAGTTTGTGCTATAAAAGATGCATTTTCTAATTCTTTTTCGTGTGTTCGAATGGTCTTTGGAGGGTCATATATTCATACCCTTTCCTGATATCCATTGAACATGTTCTTGTACATATGTCCATCGAGAAAAATGAATTGTTGGATTCTACATGTGCTGTTGGAAAGTTCTCTGCTTGTTGTATTCTCATATTTAAGTCTTCAATAAATGTTTTAGTTGCATAAATCTTGTGGGCAGTTGTTCTTACTGATGTTTTGCCCAGAAATGTTACATTTCCTCGAAAATGAATTGTTTATTATCCCTTTATCTACCTAATATTTAAATTTAATCAAAGGTAAGTAATTTGAATCGAGTATTTTAAATTTTAATTTTAATTTTAATTTTAATTTTCGCAATTAAGACATCTGACAAATTAAATGGTACCGAAAGGGCAGTTCAAGGGTGCTAATCCGTCCTTGACTGTAACTAACTCCCGAATCCGACGTATTTATGGTAAAACGTAGATCAGGTAAGATGGTGTTCAATCTACCTAAATATTGTTTTAAAATGATCGGTGGTGACTCTAACCCATTCATTCAAGTCGAAGCTCAATTTCGGGCCCACCCGAAAGACGGCCACAACACTACCCAAACATGATTTCTACCCACATGCTTTGTTTATAGAAAATCCTAACCTCATACCATCTATTTCGCATGCTTATTCGAAACAAATAAACCTAACCGTATGATCTCTAGTTCGCATACATTTATTCGAAAATTAAAATTACACCACAAAAATTAAAAGGCTAAAAAAGGTTTTTCCTTATGTACTCTCCTCATGGGATTCTTAAGGTTTGAGTAAGGCTCTATTTGGGTTCTAAGTTCACTATATGATGGGTTCGGCTCTAAAGTAAAAGGTTCTCGAATCGTCCTTGTCGGTGCCCCCTTGGGCTGCCAAACACTCAATTTTGGCCCATCATAGGCTTTTGGATCGAGTTCAATTCGAGGGACACACCTCCTTATGTCCATACAGAGGTGAAAACCATCACGATGACCATAAGGTGTGAGCCCCATGAGCGATCCACTATCCCATACGGAGGTGAAAACCACATGAGGGAGTAGTTTCTCACTCCTACGTAAATAGGAAAGAGCGGGGTTTTAGCTCATGTTATTCAAATATAGTTGTGCAGTGTGTGAGGAAAAGCGAAAATAAATCAAACAACACAAAATATAATCCTCAAAATCTTATATATTTATTTAATCTGAAAACATTAGCAAACAAAATCAATACAACTATATAGTGGTTAATCAATATTGCAAGCAAAACTTTTATTTAAACCAAACAAGGGATCAAAAATTAAATTAGAACGAATTCATAATTCTCATTGTAAAGACAATTAATTAATCGACTAATGGCATGACTCTCTAAAAATGTCCCCAGCAGAGTCGCCAAGCTGTCGAAATGATTTTTTTTCTTTAGGAAAAACACAAGTTTGATTTTTAAAATATGGTTTTTAAAATATCTCGTCTTGAATAATTTAATGACCGTTAATAATAAAAAGTGATTCGAGGAGTCGCCACCAACCTTTGATTAGGGTGTGATTGGGCACCCAAAAAGTATTTGTTGTTTTAATAAAAATATTAATTTTAATTAAAACAGCAAATGTGCAGTTTGCGTTACCAAAAAGGTGAGTTCAGGAGTAGGTTACGTGTGGGGAAGAATTAGCTCCCCACAACGCCCTAAATCAGTACCTAGTTGATCAATTAGTTGTCTTTGCAAAGAAATTTAAGAATTCGAGTCTAATTTAATTTAAGATCCCATACAAGTAATATTCTTTAAATTTTAGGATGAAACACAATAATATTTAATTATTTCCTATCGAGAAGAATCGACCTCTCATGCCTTAAAGCAATCGATTCCCACTCCAATTGAAAAAATAAAATATTATAATTATATCCTAAAGTTTAATATTAATTCAAAATAACAACACAAAATAATTCTAAGAGAGAAAACGATAAGATCTAATTATTTCCAATTGATAATAAATGACCTCTTATGCCTTAAACCAGTCATTTATTACTCCGATTTAAATGAATAGATATCACTATTTCGACTTAAAATTCAATATTGATTCGAGAGAAAACGATAATATCTAATTGTTTTCAATAGAGAATAACTGACCTCTCATGCCTTAAAGCAGTCATTTATTACTCCAATTGAAATGAAGAGATATCACCATTTTGTCTTAAAAATAAATATTGATTTGAGAGAAAATGATGATATCTAATTATCTCTAATCGAGAATAAATGACCTCTCATGCCTTAAAGCAGCCATTTATTACTCCAATTGAAATGAAGAGATATCATTATTATCAATATTAATTCAGGTGTTACTATTTTGAAATCCCATTGAAAAATACATGCAAAAATAAAACAAGTTAAAAGCATACACCAAGCAAGTACCATTATTTATTTTACCAACATTTAATGAGAATAAGGATGTTCAATTATTTAAATACATCGAGACGAATACTTAGAATCGATCTAACAGTCTTTTCTCGGTGAACTTAATTAAAAGAACACGATCTTTTTCTTAATCCCCAAATTTTAAAATGGATTCAATTCAATTCGTGTCACTTAATGGGATAGACTTTCATTTTAAAACTATCGAAAGTAACTTTCTTATACGTTAAGACAACCACTTTACGATAATATTAAAATGAACGAATATTACACTTAGTCAAATTAATTTGATTCAAGTCAATAAATGCTTATGAGGGTATCATCAAATTAATATAAAACCAAACTAATCATTGACTAAAATAAAATAACATAAAAGCAACATGCAAAAATTGAAATAAAACAACATTCAAATAGGACTAAAATATAAACAAACAAATCATCATGTCAAAAATTAAAACAACATAAAGTTAAAAGTGACTAAAATGAACACTTTTAATATTAAGTGCTAAAATTAAAAAGGATAAAAATAAATAAAACATTGGGACCAAATTAAAATAAAATAAAATTGTATGGTTAAATTAAATTAAAAAAGAAGATCATAGATCGAATTAGTTTGTCTTGTGCACTATTTTATATAAATTTTTTTATGAATTGTTCCTCGAAATCCCACTTGCTGCATATGCTTCTTACATCAGTATCTTTGTCATGGAAGTAGTCAATTCTGTCAGAAAATTATGTCTTTTGTACTAGCACTTGATCCATTCCAACGTTGACTTTGGAAGATATCCAAGGGCATACAATAATAACAATAGCCTTGTTGACAACATTTTGCCATTTGGCAGCTTTTAAACATATAACTGTACCTGCTGGGTAGATTCTCTAGATAGATAGGAACACTGCAACTTTGAAATGGTGGAAGAGGCTAATCAATTGGATGTTATTTTATTTGTTTTGTTAAAAGTCAATAGAGTAGTTAAAACAAACAAACAAGACATTTGCTGTGACCAGTTCCATTGCAAAATATGCATGCATGGGAAGTCTGAACTTGGACGAGGATCGACAAATAGAGTGGTTAAGGAATGATTCCACCAATTTTTCTTTTTAAACAAAAGAACCAGGAGACTTGGCAAATCTTTCATCTGTTTTCACTTTTCCTTTTCAACATGGAATTATTAAAGAAAGAAAATTATAATGGACCTGTTCAGTGCCTGCTATTTATAAATAGACATGCTTTCAAACCAGATTTCTCACCCCTCAAAAAGCAAGAATTTATTCAAGCTCAAGACTGCTACTCACAATAATGAAAGGTGTTGGATTCCTTGTAGCATTAGTCCTGTGGACTTTGGCTTCCAAACTTGCCTCAGCTTCGGATCCCAGCCCTCTTCAGGATTTCTGCGTAGCAGTTAATGATACTAAAGATGGTGGTATGTTCTTTGAAACTTCATCTTTGCAATATTTTCATTGAGAAGCAACAAAGTGGTAATATTTTTTTTCTTTCTATATTAATGCAGTTTTTGTTAATGGAAAGTTGTGCAAGGACCCAAAGCTTGCAGTCCCAGAAGACTTCTTCCTTCCGGGGCTCAACATTCCAGGAAATACATCAAACCAAGTAGGATCAATGGTGACTCAAGCCAATGTTCAACAAATTCCAGGACTCAACACTCTTGGCATTTCTCTTGTTCGAATTGACTATGCACCTTACGGTGGCCTAAACCCTCCTCACACTCACCCTCGTGCCACTGAAATTTTAGTTGTTGCGCAAGGCACCCTTTACGTCGGCTTTGTCACATCCAATCCTGAGAACCGTCTCTTCACCAAAGTCCTGTACCCGGGAGATGTCTTCGTGTTCCCTGTTGGTCTCATTCACTTCCAATTCAACATAGGCCACACAAATGCAGTTGCCTTTGCTGCTCTCAGTAGCCAAAACCCAGGCGTTATCACCGTTGCAAATGCAGTGTTCGGCTCTCACCCGCCCATCAATCCCGATCTTCTTTCCAAAGCCTTCCAGCTGGATAACAATATTGTTAAGCAACTTCAGTCCCGTTTCTGGTGGGATAACAACTAGAGCAATATTTCTATATTCCATCAAACTTATGTACTAGCTAAATAATTATTTTCTGGATAATGTTTGACTTGTTTCTCTGCTGAACTTAGTATTTCATTTATTGAAAAAAAAAATAAAAATTAAAGAGGTTTGCTTATCAAAACCTCTCTTAATGTTACTTTGGTTTTTAATTGCGGACTAAATTGTGAGAGTGGGAAGTACTAGTGCATAAGTGAAAACAGAGAAGAAATAGAAGGATCAAGTGTATAGTTAGACACTTGACTCAATTTTGTGGGATTTGGCGACTAACCCTGTTAAGTATTAACTTGAATTATTTTATTTCTAAATGTTTTGATTTTCTTAATATGAGAAATGTGTTAAGATTAAAAATTTTAAATGGAAAAATTCACGGATTAGGATTTTTCCCTAACTTATAGTTTGATAGAAGAGGGAAAGATAAAACATTTCATTGTATTTCTTATTAAACCCTAAACACCAGTGTAACAAAGCTTTCAATTACAAGTGTTTTGTTAATTAGTAAATTATACTATTAATCACCAAACTATTTAATCATTTTATTTTTGTCATCGATCTTTTAATTTTGTCAATCGTACCACCTAACTATTTAATTATTGTTAATTAAGACACTAACAGTTAACAATTGACGGAAATGATGACCTGGCAGTTAAAACAATTGGTATAGTTATACATTTAGTCCTTAATATTTTTATTAATTAACTAATGATTCAACCAGGATCTGAATGTGTCAGCACAAGATAATTACACGTGACATGATTGGAAGATATTAATTTTTTTTTTTAATTTTAAGACACTAACAGTTAACAATTGACGGAAATGATGACCTGGCAGTTAAAACAATTGGTATAGTTATACATTTAGTCCTTAATATTTTTATTAATAAACTAATGATTCAACCAGGATCTGAAATGTGTCAGCACAAGATAATTACACGTGACAATACATGATTGGAAGATATTAATTTTTTTTTAATTTGAATTTATGTAATTAAATAAATTTTCTATCTAATCTAGAAATCACACGTGTAACTACCCAATTCAAAAGAAAATAAGGATGAATGAAATTGTAGACTAGAGCGCCCCAGCAATCGCACCAAAGGCTACCGTTAAGTAAAATGTAGAAAAAGTTGAATTTATCTTTTAAAAACTTGTTAATAATAAAACAAAGTAGAAGCAAAAAGATTTTACTTTTTATATTTTAAAATTAAATATTTTTATGATATTTTTTAATATTGTTAAAATTTAAGACTATTATATTTTAATATCAATTAGGAGATGATACATGTAAATTTTAAAATATAAAAATATTATTATATATCTTAAATTTATTATTGCTAGAAATATTAAATTTATTATTAAAATAAAAAATATTAATTTTTGTTTTAAAATATAAAAAAATTCAATATATTTTTATTGTAAATATTTCATTAATTACTATTTAATATATATATATATATATATATATATATATATAATGTATTTCTAATTTCTTGTCACTTATATTTTCTTTTACTGTTAACAAATTTTTAAACCATACATAAAATTTGTTGTACAATTTAACAAAATGTGGGCCTTTGGTGTAGTGGTTGGGGCGGTGATCATGTTCCCGTGAGTATTGGTAACACATGTCACCTCTTGATTGAACGATTAATTTATTATTTAAATAATTAAAATTAATAAAAAAGTTATCTTCTAATCTTGTGTCGACACATGTAAAATCCTTATTGAATGATTAATTTAATAAATCAAATTTAAATTATGATCAATTTGAGAGAACATGTAAATAATAAGATCTAAATGTAGAATTATGTTAATTCTTTTAATTTCCACGTCAGCACTTTCGTCGATCATTAACAGGTAGTGGCTTAATTGATAATAATTAAATATTTAGGTGGTTTGATTAACAAAATTGAAAGATTGATGACAAAAGTAAAAAGTCTAAATAGTTAGGTAGTCAATGATATAATTTACTTTTTGTTAAACCTTAAATACCAATGTAAGAAACCCTAAATTTATCCCAATTTAATGGTTAAAAACACTAAATTGACCATAGAATTGTCAAGCCCAAGCCATTATCTATCATTCGTTTTTATTTGCATCTAAATAGTGTAAGTGAAAATCTAAACTCTAAACTTATTTAGGGTTCGTGTCAAATATTGATTTAGATGATAAATATACTTTTGAATTCACTTTGTTTTTGTCGGAGAAAAATGGCTTGATCAAATTCTCTAAAGCTAAATCGAAAGCTAAAGTCTCTGATTACGTGAGTGTAGTCATAATCGAATCTTTACAGTTATGCATGTGTTTTTGGTTTTGATTATGTATGTTGCAAAATGTTTTCTTTTGTAGTAAATCGTATGCAACTATGTACTTTAAGTGAGTTTCGATAAATTATTTTGATAATTTAAGTATATTAGATTTCTTTTCAATTGATAAATTCGATTATTGATATATGTTTATAGAGTTTGAACATGTGAATCAGATTAAATCATGCATTATACTCGTGCTTCATGAATATTTGATATTTTTGAATATATAATCTATGATACGAGAAATTGGGGAATGTCCTTTCGTAATAACCTAGTCAAGGGAATAACTATCATTGAATTTTTTATAAAAAAAAGCTTATATAATAATCCGCTAGGCCTAGAAAACTTTTAACCTCACCTACGTACTTTGGAGGTTTTCAATCTAAGATTTTTTTATTTTTCTTCGAACTAAATTGAATCCCATAAAAGACATGATATAGCTCGAGACTTTAAACCGTTAGAATTGATATTTACTAAATTTAGCATGCAATTGCTTATCTCGAAGTCTGAAGAACGAACAATCCTAAGGTGACTATTATGATCATTTCTAGTATTGAATATAGGGATGTAAAAAGCTAATCCAACCTGTAAAATGACTGAAACCGACTTAGGTCAAAACTGTTTGTGACCCGAGGTGGTGATAATCTGATATCGATTCTAGTTTGAATCAATGTTGACTTGAACTCAAGTTGGACTTGGTAATTTTGGGTCTAAACCCGACTTGCCATGAACCCGAATTGAACCTGATAATGTCATAAGAAAACGCGACTTGCATCTGACCTTATATGAATCCAAACCCAAGACTAATATGATAAATAATTGATATTATCCAACCTACTATGAACCAGACATGTAATTGACTCAATTTTTAAATGACTCGACTTATTATTAAACTGATCGGATATGATCCTACTTGGTATTTACTTGACTTGTAAGTTACAATTGATAAAGTTGTGAGATTATGAATTTATGATAATGTTGAAAACATTTTGATATTTCGATATAACAAATAAAGTGTAAATTAATTTAAGATTTTATATTCGATTCAAATATTATATTCCATTAAATTATTCGAATATTACAAATATTACTCCATGTTTTCAAATATAAATTTTTACTCCTTACTAAATGAAAATTTGAGGCTTATACTTAAAATATTTTTGATACAGTTTTTACGAAGTATTTCGAACCATAATCAAGTCAAAATTGAGTTTTAAATAGGGTAGTACCTATACTACCTTAACAATATCGATAGCCCCAAACATCAAATGCAAAAGAGTTACTGATACCCTACACGGTATCGATTCCCTTATATATTGTAGTACCAATACCCTAGCTAATGGTATCGATACTACTCCTTTTTTTTTACTCTGAGAAATAACAGATGCAAATAGTGTACCATTACCATGACCGGTATCGATACTACTTTACATAGTAGTATCGATACTCCTTTAGAGGTATCGATACCATTGGTTTTGCAACGGTCGAAATATTTGAATTTTATACAGGTAGTATCGATACCCCTATTAAGGAGTATCGATACCCATATGCTCCCAGTAGACTTTTCAAGTGGATTTCACACAACAACGACTCTATTGACTTCATGATCATCCCCAACATTTAGAATTGATCTGAGGAGTATTTAAACAAGTCTTGAAGCCATTGGTGATAATAACAGAAGCTAGAAAAACAAAAGAGAAAGCCTTAAACAACAAGTTTGAGCAATTCAAGGCCAACAACCATTCAATATTCATTTTTCTTTCAAGAACACAATTTGTGCTCAATTGTATTCATTTTTAGTGTTCTTTCATTGTTCTATAATTATGAAAACATTTTACCTTGTGAGGTTTTTCTTCTAAGTTTGCAAGTTTGTAATTTTCTCTTTGAGAAGAGAGTATCTCAAGAATTTGGGGTATAGTTCTTGAGGGAGTTATAAGGTTACTCTTTTTCCGTAAAAGGAAGAAAAATTTGTGAATTTATGGAAACTCCTTAGTGTTGATAGCTAAGGTAGTGGACGTAGACTTTGGTTGAGAAAGTTGAACCACTATAAATCGTTGTGCACATTATTTCTATTTTCTGTCAAAGCTTCATCCAAAATTTTAATTGTCAATTTAGCCCCTCTTGGCTAATTCATCCGATTGATTGACTCAACAATTGGTATCAGAGATACACTCGTTTGAAAGTTTTACCACCTCTTGAGAAGATTCGGGAAGATTTCAATCGTTATCTAAGTCATTCATGGCCTCTACATAAAACTTCGACTTTGTTCTTGATTCTCAACCCGTCAACAAGCCTCATTTCTTCAATGGAGCTAACTATGCCTATTGGAAGAATAGGATGAAGTTCTTCATTCAAGCTAGTAACATGGGGGCGTGGAAAATCATGATGAAAGGATACTCTGAACCATCCACAGAACCAGAAATATGGAGTGAAGAAGAGGCTAGATTATTCCAACTCAACTCAAAAGCAATCCATATTATATTTTGTGATCTTGGACCAGATGAATACGGGAGAATATCATCTTGTTCAACAACCAATGAGAAATGGGACAAACTTCAAGTCACACATGAAGGAACCGTTGAGGTAAAAGAAACCAAAATTAGTCTTCTTAATCATAGCTATGAAAATTTCAGGATGAAACCAGATGAAGCGCTATGACGGATAGATTTTCCGTAATTGTCAATGGTCTCAATAAATTCGGAGAAATAATCCCTATTGAGAAACTTATGAGGAAGATAATTTATTCTCT